ATTTTGGTAAAAAATTAATAAACAAAATATTATGTATTTGTTTTAACTCAAATGTTTTGTTATTATAACTATTTATTTTTACTACAATTAACTTTACTCATCAATCACAAGAACTGACGAACCAGCTAGCCAGTCTTATTGAAACTTCAATGACAACTGAAATCTTCTTAAAAAAGCAATGGACTTAAACTCCAAAGATGTGATGTAATAACGATGTTATTTCGAGTTGTCCCCCCAGTGGCACAGCGGCATGTCTGCGGACTTTACAACGCTAGAAACCGGGTTTCGATACCCGTGGTGGGCAGAGCACAGATAGCCCATTGTGTAGCTTTGAGCTTAATTCCAAACAAACAAATACTTCGAGTTTTTTATTTGTTCGTTGTTTAGCGCAAAACTAGACAAAGGGCTATCTGTGTTTTGTTCACCGTGGGTATCGAAACCCAATTTTTAACGTTATAAGCCTGCAAACAAATTATTTTAAGTTATATAAATATTTTTTCGATTATTCTGGTTCTAAACAAAACACACTGGATAAACAAATAGACAAAATTAGTTTAAATTTTTTTAATGAGTTCTCTGAATCTAAGGTCGGGGCTCTCAAACTACCAGATTTTAGTAATAAGATAAAATTACTAAACAAAGCTTCACATGTGTGCCTTTTCTCTTCAATAAAATGCTTACCCTTTGTTATAACGCACATTTTTTATATAACAACTTTACGATATTCATGCAAGCCACATCACATTCACTGATTTTCTCACTGACAATAATCTGAATCATTCACAAGGATAAGTTTGTTAACGATAATGAAGCAATAGTCAACACGCTGTTTCGCCCCTTTTATAGTATAGGATGTATCCCATAGTAAACCCAGATGTACGTTTTCTGTTTTAACATTCTTATTAGCAAATTGCAAAGGGATGTTTACACATTTATGTAACTTAATATAAAATGTATTTATTTATTTATTGCAAACAAAGTAAACAAAACAACAACAAAAATGATATCCTTTTTACTAAGCATTTTATAATCCTTCATTAATAAAATACGTTAGTTAATTGAAATAGTACTGGTAAATTTCTTTCTTCTTTTATAAATGTTTTGCAAGGGGTTATAACATCTTAATAAAACACCAGCAAATAATACGTTTGAGATATGCAGGAAATCTTCCTAAGTTAAAATTAAGGGGGTTAGGAATTTGAATAAGATAAAACCTCTGCAAAATATCATTTTCAGATCAGGTAACTTATCATTTTTGAAGCAGGAAATTTATTTGTCACTGTTAATCAGAAAGTTGATGTAGGTTAACTACTGCTTCAAAAATGTACATTAATTTGTTAACTGTACTTTGAGCGTAGAACGTCTTTCTATATTAGACGACTACGTTTTACTAACTACTTACTTTATACTCATAACCTTAATTCATTTGAAATTTTGAATTTAGAACAACATTTCTTCAACTAATATCTGAAATCTAACAAGATCATTTAACAAACGAAAAGTATTAACTCTAATGTTAGTTATAAAAAGGGGGAAAAAAACATTAATTTTTATACAAACGCTAAGACACAGTTTTTTAGCGGGAAATCAGTCAACACTTGTACAAGAACCAGTTTTTACCTAGAATGTAAGATAACTTATGATATTAGTCCAACCTATAGATCAGGTGTGCTGCTGCTGCTGTCCAGAGATGTCTTCCTGTGTTTTCTCTGGGCTGGTCTCTGTAAAGGTTCGGTGAAAACCGCTTTTATTGATAGGCAAGATGACGTCATGAAGCGTGGGTTTACCCGTCGCCCAATTCCCCACCATTAAGGTGAAAAGTCCTGAAAATGTTGCTTCAGGATTGGTTGCCTGCTGGTAATATCAGCTAAAGACTGCCTCTTTGAACACCTTACTGTATTGTTTGCAGAACACGGCTGATTAAAAAGGTAAAAACGTAAGCACTGAGCAAGGTAAATACCAAATCATCGTACCTTATGTTTCAAAGCTGACCATTAATGCAAAATATAACTTTATATTTATAATACCACGTTATGGTAGCTCAAGTATTCTCTTACAGCTTACTGTCTAAAAATAATAGTTATTACATAAAAAGAAGAAACAAACAGTTTGAACTACCCATTGTCTCCCTGAAGTCTACGGACTTTCAACGCAAAAATCCTGGGTTTGATTCCCTGTGGTGGACACAACAGATAGCTCAATGTGGCCTTGCTCTAAAACAATCAAGTATTACCTGTGTGAAAAATCATGGCTCACCCAAAAACTAGAACTGTCATTAGCATTTTGTTTCGTTTCAGAATTTAACGTTCTTGGAAGTTTACAACTGATTATCATTCACTTGTTTTTTTTCTTCTATTCTGCACTTGAGACAACAGTGACTAATTCTGAGTGTTTTTTTAATAACAGTAAATACATAGTCCAACATTTTTTACACAGAATATAATAAACCCATGTTAAATATATTCAAGTTTATTTTGTATTTGTTAAAGACAAGAAGTCAAAAGTGTAAGTCCTTCGGTGGCTCAGCGGTAGGTTAAGGACTTATAACGCTAAAAGTTGTGTTTTAGTAGGCAATTCATAGATAGCTCATTATGTAGTTGTGTGCTTAACAACAAACAAATCGAAAGTGCAACAATAAGCACAGTTCAAATCATTTTTAGATATCATGTAAGATGCATAATATAATTGAAAATACCGAAGTAGTTTGAAGAAAATAACTAAAAAAAAAGTTTTAGTTAAAAACTGTTTCAAGTGCTCAGTTTGAATTACATATTATAAATATGTGTATTACGTTTACGGGGTTATTTAACGGTACTTTGTTTCTCATACAGTGGTTACACGTGTGTTATCTGCAGGTGGTCAATAAAATGTATTAGTTCCAAATATTCAAGAAATGACTCCAGTAGGATTTGAGTCAATGTATACAATATATGCTAAAAATACTTCACAAGAAGCTATTAAAAATTCGGAGATGTACTGTCCTCTGGAAAAATCTTTTAATTGGATACTCTAAAAGAATGGCAAGTGGCAAACATTAATGTATCTATCACAGTCTTAATTTATTATAAAAAGAATTCAGCTTTAGAAAGAAGAAATATGTCCCTCTATAGAAAAGCTATTTCAATATTAAATCAGCTTTATACAGTTTAAGCTGTTGAATAGAAGTGTACACAGGCATTCCCATTTTTTGATAAAAGATCATAATTAACATCGTGTTGTTATGGAAACAAATATTATGGGAGAAGACGGAAGTTTTCAAAAATGCACTCAAAAAAAGTTTTAAAACCTGTTAACTGGTTAACAGCATTCAGATATGACATTTAAAATTACATCACAGTAAGAAACAGATTAAATAACTGGATGGAACTGTTATTCTGAACCTGATGAAGTGTTGTAAGAAATGTTGATTTTTTAGCACAAAGCTACGCCAGGAGCTATCTGCGCTCTGTCCTCCCGGATTTTAGTGATGTAAGTCCGTAAACTAATCGCTAACTCACCGGGGGGTTCTTTTTTGTTTTAAACTGTTTGATATAATCACATGTAGTTTCGGAAACTATTTTATACGATTTCTAAATTATTGGCTTAAAAATGTCTAAGCTTGAAGATAGTTTTAACTGCTCGTTTTCACTGAAACGTTATATCTATTTTACAAAACTGTTAACAAAGTGTTAAGGGCATTACTTTAAATAAGAATGTCTATGACAAAAAAAATGTTCCGCTTAGAAAGTTTATGCTTAATTCAAAGAGTCCCCAGTGGCACAGCGGTATGTCTGCGGACTTACAACGCTAGAAACCGGGTTTCGATACCCGTGGTGGGCAGAGCACAGATAGCCCATTGTGTAGCTTTGTGCTTAATTCCAAACAAAGAAACAAACTTAATTCAAAGAATTACAATATAAACCTGCATTAAAAGGAGAGAGTAAATTAACTTTTTTTAAACTCAAACTGAATAAAAGAAACTTTAAATTAAACTAATATAATTATATTCGACTGGCTGGATCAAATTTTGTGGTAAGTATGGTTTTCAAAAAAGAAAGAAAAAAACAATACCAGTCTGAATATCCAGTAAGATTTGCTGTTAATGACAGTCAGATATAAGCTATTATTTAATCGAATTTGAAGTTTACATCTGAATTTTTTCTACAAAATAATGACTTGATTTGATAATAGCTAGGTTAAAGTGTTAAAGTTAATCAATTTGTGTTTCAATAAAGAATGTCTCATAACATCATACTTCTATGAAAAATTATTATCTTGTGTAATAATTTGAGTTTTACCGATGATAAAACAGAGAATTCTTTACTTAAAAATACTTTACTGAATTATAGGAATTTGCCACGAACTTCAATTTTATATTATATTTGCTACGGATTCAAAATTAGTACTCAATCTATGGAATCATTTTTGGGTGTGCTAATGAAAAGATTTAGATAGACCAACATCCCGACTGGTTGATATTGTGTTATGCATATAAAAAATCTACGTTTCTTTACTTTAATATTTGAAACGTATACGTCACAAAATACGATTATTTTATCGTTTTTAATTTAAGTATTCTTACATTGGAATGATCGCTATTTAGAAATTATTATTTTCTTAAGCTTTATTTTGAATTCATTCTTTTTACCTAAAAGAAACAAAAAGCTACGAGCTACTTAAGTATACCTACTTTAAAGATTAAAGCTTTGCATCTTGAAGTAAATAAATATATGTGTTTGTTTGTTTTGTTGTAGTCATAGAAACCAGCTTTTTTAGTTGACTAAGTTTCATGTACAGTCATAAAGAACAGTCCACCAATGGGACAGCGGTAAGTCTTCGGATTTACAACGCTAGCATCAAGGGTTCGATTCCTCGCGGTTTGACACAGCAGATAGCCCGATGTGGCTTTGCTATAAGAAAACATACACGCATGAAGATCATCTTGTTGAAGTGCAGTTATGGATGCTGTTTCTTATTATTCTGCAATACGTTTAGAGAGAATATGTTGTTCTTCCAGTGTAATACTATCCTGTTGAAGATCTTATATGTGCAATTAAACTAAATAAATCATTAGTTCAAGTGATCCTCTTTCCTGAGAAATCTACAGTTGCTATGATATTTATTGTATATTATGACTGTTGGTAACCAAGTTCTGTGTTACTTACGTGCTTATCTCATGTTTACACGTATTTTGTGGGACTTAGTTACGAAAAACATTCAACGCTGAAAGAAACTGCCTTTATTTATTCAAATGCTGTTACTATACTGTGTTATCTAGGCTTATTATAGATCTGATTTATATATAAACAGCACGTGCGTGTTATGTTTTCTAAACTGGTAAACTATTCTATTTATTTAAAATTGCTCGAAAACAATTATCTGATCAACGAGGTTATTTTGTTTTAATTATTAAAGTGATGCAGATTCTTGATGTAAGCACACGGTCCGTCGTAAAGTTTGTGAAACGGAATCGCCAGGACTGCATTAATTCGTTCAGCACACGCTAACTGGTATATGTTGTACTAGTGAAAAACTGCGATTTCTCGTCATTAAGTGTATTTAATCACTCGTCATGTGTTCGTGACGACGTGATTTTGCAACTAGTATTTAGGATTTCGTATGGTTGGTAATATGCACCATTTCATTTTATCAACGTTTTAATTAACATCATTTAACTACTTCAGGTTTCGCGTAATTACTGTTTGACATGGAAACCTTGTAATTTCGCAAGACGTATTTCCTGTCGCTGATATTACACATGCACGTGGCTGGTGTGAATACGTAAACTTCTCATTATCTGGAACAACCTGCTCGTATAATTACTATAAATACCAAGCAATCAGAAATCTCTACTGTTGCCTCTAAGCATTAGGCACATTTTATGGAGATGGGCTTAGAAACATATATTGATATATTGCAGTGTTTCACTTGTGATTTTCTCATTTTTCTGATTATGTATTAGCTCTTGCTCTTTGATTTTATTCTATATAAAATCAATACACCTGTATCATATATTATATAATGTTCTCACCAATTGTCTAGTTTCTTGGAGTTATAAAATGTCTTAAAAACTCTAAGAAAGCGATCTGAGCCTGAAAGTGGTTTTTGATATCAGGATTTCCACGTTTACTGAGCAACCAATCCTTCAACATGATCTTGGGTTCGAATCTCGTTAGGAATTCCAGGTTGGTTTGCAGTAGTGATTGAGCATCTGTATGATCGGAATGACCTTGAATGTGCCTAGTCTTTATTACAACTCTTAGCATATACGATATTGACCTTAAGGAATTAAGCACAAAGCTATACAATGGGCTATCTGTGCTCTGCCTACCACAGGTATCGAAATCTGGTTTCTAGCGTTGTAAATCCGCAGACATTGTTTGTTTGTTTTTAATTATGCACAAAGCTACACAAGGGCTATCTGTGCTCTGCCCACCACGGGTATCGAAAACCGGTTTCTAGCGTTGTAAGTCCGCAGACATACCGCTGTGTCTCTGGTGGAGGGGGCTGCTTGTCTTTAGCAAGTGTTTTATTTACAGGTAATCGACCAAGAGGCGAGGAAACTGAGTTTAAAAAGTTAAAAGTATTGTTGCTAAACTGTCATTATCTAGAAAGTATTATTATTCATGGATTTAACACTACTAGACGCACAGAAGCAAACAAAAGCAGCCCTTCCCCGGTGGCTCAGCGGTAAGCCTGATGGCTTATAACGCTAAAAATCGGGTTTCGATTCACGCTGTGGGCAGAGCA